GCTGAGACTCATCCCCACTTCCGGGTCAGGGCAGGGCCCACAGGGGCAGTTCGCCCACGGGGAGGGGCTCTCTGACCTCATCCCTGCGCCCCCCCCCGCCCCCCAGAACGGCGACTACAACAAACCGATCCCCGCCCAGTACCTGGAGCACCTGAACCACGTGGTGAGCGGCACGCCCGGCCCCCGCGCCCCCGAGCAGCCGCAGCAGTGGGTGAGCAGCCAGGTGCTGCTGTGCCGCCGCTGCAGCCACCACCAGACCACCAAGATCAGGCAGCTGGCCGCCTTCACGCCACGCGACGAGGTGAGGCTGGGGCGCGGCACGCCCCCACCTCTGGCTTTCCAGTCCTGGGTGCCCGAGGACCCCCCTCGATCCCACGTTGCCGGCCTTCAGTCTCGTGGCCTTACTGTCTCACTTCCCAGCCTGGAGCATCATGGAAGGCCCAGAGGGGTCCTTGGACAACAAGTAGTCCCCTGAGTTCCAGCTGGGGACCTCATGGCGTCCTGCAGTGTCCCTTGGAGTCAGCCCCGCCCCTGGCTGGCCAGCAGCTCACTCTCAGGCTTGGCCAGGAGGCTGCTGGCCATTGAGAGGTCCGACTTCAGCAGTCACCGCCTGGGCCCCCCTCAAAGCCTGGCGCCTCGCCCAGACCAGTCCCCTGGCCCCTGAAGGCGGCCCCCGAGGCCCAGGGTGCTGGCTTTCCCGAGGTCCAGGCTGGGAGGAGGGGCGAGGGGAGGCCCGGGCAGGAAAGACAGCGGGTCTCCAGAGAGCAGATTAGACGACCGAGGCGGCTTTTCTGGTGCATTTGGCCCCAAGGAGAGAACTGGAGACGACGCTCTCCGGCCTCTGCGGCCGCAGTGCTTGCTGGGAAGGAGAGGGACAGAGACATTGCTGCCCCCGGCCTGAGCCTCCCAAAGCCCAGAAGCCCTTTCTGCCCCCTGTAAGGCTCAGCAGGGATTCCTCTAGGAATTTCTAGGCTCCTGGGCTTATGGGAGGGGCAGGCCCTGGCCCTGGCTTGCCTGACTGGCCCAGACTGGGCACAGTAGCTCAGAGCCGCCTCCTGGGGCTCCTGCAGCCCACCCCGTGCCCAGCAGTGGAAGATGCAGGTTCAGCATGGGGGTCACCGCCAGGCACCCTGAGCCTCTACCCCACCCCCCACCCCCCAGGGCAGGTATGACGAGGAGATCGAGGCATACCGGCACCACCTAGAGCAAATGTACAAGCTGTGCCGGCCGTGCCAGGCGGCCGTCGAGTACTACCTCAAGCACCAGAACCGCCAGCTGCGGGCCCTGCTGCTCAGCCACCAGCTCAAGCGCCGGGAGGCGGACCAGAGCCACGTGCAGGTGCGAGTCTGCCCCAGGGCAGTGGGTGGCGCTGCCCTCGCGGAGCGGGGGGGCCCTCGGGCTGGGCCAGGTGCAAGGGCAGCTCTCCAGAGCGAGACACTTTCCAGGACCACAGCCACGTCCCACCCTGCCCAGGGCTGAGTCCCGCAAGAGCATCCTCGATGCCCTGCAGCCAGCCCCGGTGGGTGCCGTCCTGACCCTGCTGTTATTTGCGGGCCTCTGTGGCCGGGACAGTCAGGGCCCTCAGGTGACCAGGAGTGGCTGTGTGACCGGGGCCTTTTGCCTAAAGTTGCAGCCCGATTTATCACTGTAGTCAGTGTGAAATCTTCTGGCTAAAAAAACCTGAGGGGCAAATGGATTTACTTATTTATTTTTAAAGATTTATTTATTTATGCCAACAAGAACTGGGGTACAGGTCAGAGGACTCACCAGAGACAAAGCGGGAACAGAATAGGTAGATTGACCAGAACCCACTGCTGAGGGGCGCAGCGGGGAGACCGGAGAGGGTCTGCTGCGCCCTGTGGGTCCCTCCCTGTGGGGATCGAACGCATGCTGCAGTGGCTGCCAATAGCTTCGCAGAGACTTGACCTCTTGTGCCACCAGAGAGGCCCCAGGGGCAAATGGATTGAAACATGAGGGTCTCCCGTCAAAGCCTCCCCTGTGGACACACAGGACTCCTGTCCACTCCCAGCTCCTGAGGTCAGCTGCTTACATAGATACGTAAACCTCTGTGTGTGCTATAATTCCAGTTAGCATCACAGTGGGAGCTTCGGATGAAAAACTTGACAAAACAAAAATTTGACTTCAAGTGTGAGGTCTCGTCAGGGGAAGGAGGTCACCTGACGGTGTGGCCAGCAGGGCAGCCCTGCCAGCATGGGCTGGCGGGGGGAGGGCCCTGCTGGGAGGCGGCTACCAGCTCGGCTGTGGGCCTGGGCCCCCAGGGAGACTGGAGCCATGGTGCGGGGTGGGCCCTGCCCAGAGTGGGTATCGGAAGCGGCCAGCAGCAGCTCTGTCCACCTCTCTGACCAGTCTCTCTCCCCCCTCAGAGCTTCTGCTCGTCGGCAGTGAAGTCCCCGGTCCAGGTCATCGTGCTCCGGGCACTCGCCTTCCTGGCCTGCGCCTTCCTGCTGGCCACCATGCTCTATGGCACCAGCAGCCCCTCTGCTCCGGGTGCGGCCACCCTGCCCCCCGCCCTGCCCCCTGGGAGCAACGGCTGCACCACGCCTGACAATGCCACTGGCCCCGGGGCCCAGGGCTGGCAGCAGCTGCTGGGCCTGCTGCCCGAACACGCCGCCGAGAAGCTGCGCGTGGCCTGGGCCTTCGGGCAGAGCCACCAGACGGGCCTGGTGGTCCTAGGCCTGCTCACCTGCCTGCTGGCCATGCTGCTGGCCGGTCGCCTCAGGTGCGTGTGGGCAGGCATCTCGGGCCGGCCAGGAGCCCGCTTCTCAGGCGGCCGGGAGTCGAGGGCGACGAGAGCAAATGATCTGCCTGGTGGGGTAGAAGCAGCGGCTGACCCTGCTACGTCTGGGCCCAGGGCACCTCTGGCTACCTCTGGTTTCCCCCTGCAGAGTTGGGGTGGCAGCGAACACCTGCCCTGAGGGGAGCATGGGCCCCTTCTCTCCTTCCCTGAGTGCTTGCAGAGCCCAGCCAAGTGGTGTCCCCTCGCCGCCTCTCTCTGACCCTGCAGTGTCAGGCCACTGTACAGGCGCAGACACCGAGGCTGGGCACACCCTCAGTTCGGCCCCAGGGTGGACAGAGGAGGCGGAAAGTAGAAGGGGGCGGGAAGGCTGGTCGGGCTCGCAGGCCTCACGCACCACTCTCCCCGCAGGCTCCGGAGGATCGACGCCTTCTCCACCAGCCTGTGGGCCCTGCTGCTGGGCCTGCACCTGGCCGAGCAGCACCTGCAGGCGGCCTCTCCCAGCTGGCTGGACACACTCAAGTTCGGCATCACGTCCCTGTGCTGCCTGGTGGGCTTCACGGCCGCCGTGGCCACGAGGAAAGCGACAGGCCCGAGGAGGTTCCGGCCCCGAAGGTCAGAGTAGCAGCGGTGACTGCGGGGGGACAGATGGGCGGACAGGCCCGAGCCGGCCACCCGAGCAGCCCCTCTCTTGCGTCCTCCCTGACCTGCTCTATGCCCAGCCTCGCACCCTGGCCCTGGCCCTGGTCCAGCCCCTCTGTTTCCCCAAGGAGGCAGGCCTGGCCCCCTTTTCTAGACCCCAAGCTATCCCTGACCTAGCTGCCCCCTTTGCCACCGAATATCTGGTCAAAGACCCCTCCCTGCCCAGGACACTGCGTGCGTGACCCCCCCACGGCCGGCTTCCAGCCTGTGGCTCCCGGCTCCTGCTAGCAGCTCCATGCGCCACGGCCCCAGCCCAGACCTCCCGCCTCTGATACCACTGGAGGAGGGTCCTGGCCTGTGTCTGCTTCTCTCGCCTGGCCCAGCTCTGATTCCTGGCATAGGGGCTAGTGACGGTGGCCCCAGGCTAGGCCTGGCCATGGGGCCTGACCGCAAGGGCCGCTTGGTGTGAGCTGAGGAGGGTGAGCGCCCCTCACCTTGTGCCCACGTCACCTCTCTGCTCTCTTTGGTCCTGCTCTTGGCTGGCTGTTCCTGCCCAGGCCGGTGGCCCAAAAGGAGGCAGGATGCGCCCACCTCCCATGACTGCACCGGGGACAGAAGCTGGTGTGACTTGCGGTCACGTTCAGGCACGTGCAGGCTGCTCACCAGTGCAAGGTCCCAGCCAGGTCCTGTTGTTCCCCAGCCTCAGTTTACCCATGTGGGGTGACTGGTGGCTCTGCCCAGGCCTGAGGTGCTGCCCTCAATGAGGACACGCTGGAACTGAGGCGCTGTCCACAGGCAGAGGAGGTTCAGCCTGGGGCACTCTAAGGAGGAGGCTGGCTGGGTGTCTCCTCCCTGGCATTGTTTTCCCGCGGCCCCAGAGCCTGCCTCAGGCCCTTGCGGTTGCCGGCGGGAGCACCCCTCCATGCCTCGGGGTTCAGGGGAGCAGGTGTATGAGGAGGTCCTGCTGGGCAGGGGCCCGCCGAGCAGGCAGCGGTGCCCTGCAAGCCGCTGGCCCCTGAGGCGCTGTGGCTCAGGCGCCACCTGACTAGCTGCGGGCCGCAGGCCAGCCCAAGTCTCCTTCTCTCAGAACAGCCAGCGCGGTGCCCCGCACCTGGGCATCGGGCAGCGGACCCCGGTGCGTGCATGCGTGTGTGTGTGCGTGTGTGTGTGTGTGTGTGTGTGTGCGCGCGTTAAGTTATTTATACTGAGTGGAACCAGCTCTCCGGCCGGGCTTCCCTGCCGGCAGAAGCCCCCGCCTGTGCTGGGGTGGGAAGAGCCTGCAAGAGAAGCCGGTCAGAGGCTTTCCCGCTGTTTTGCTCTCGCGCCCTTGTAAGTCGCCCTCTGGTCCCTTAAACTTGCGTCACTTAGAGACTGCATCACCTGCTGACGTCACACCCGGTCAGGGACCCTGTACCCCCAGGAGGAGGGGCCGCCGGGGGGGGTGGCTGTGAGCTGGGGGTCCGGGCCCTGCGCTCTGGGCCTCATAACGTGCCCGGAGCGAGCCGCCTGGACGCCCGCCGCCGCCCGGAGCCACGTCCCCTGGCCGAGCGTCTCCGCCCCCGGCTGAGCAGTAGAACATGGACAACTGGTGTCGCTGTCACCGCCGGGCCATAGACGGCGGCACTCTGAGTCTGTGTTTCAATAAATGCCCGGGCCGCCTTGCCGCGGGCGCCAGGTGCCACGTCTTTTTTGGTTTTTCTTTCACGCTGCTTCAGAGGACTCTGTGCTGGGGGGCGGGAGGGCCCCCAGGAGTTAGGCCAGCGCTGGCTCCTGGCCCAGCCCCGGCTCCCCGTGCCGGGTTGCACTCGGCGCCGTCCAGCCTGTGGGATACCACGCAGCCCTGCACCCCGACCCCGAGGCCCGCCGGGCCCCAGGCTGGTGCGGAGGCCGATCTGCAGCCCAGACGGCCTGGGGGCGCCAAGCTGCCCCGGGCGCCTCACCAGAGGAAGCTCTGCGGGCGCAGCAGTGGCTACTTTCATGGGGGACGCCCGTGGCACCGACCGTCCTCTGCACGGTCACCGGCTCAGCTTTAGAGCACCGCGGCCCCAGGGCAGCCCCGGGAGCAGTCCTGGGGAGCCGCGCCTCTCCTGGAGCCGGCCACGGGGTGCAGGGCCTCTGCCCACTGGCTGCCGGCGCCACACTGCAGGCCCCTCCCTCGCTCGCTGCGCCCTCCCTCACTCCGGAGCGGCCGTGCCTGCGCCTGGGGGCAGCTGCTCTTCCCCGCGGGGGTGTGGGTCTGGCAGGGACGTGTTCCCGCCGGTCAGCCAGCTGCCGGAGCTCCCGGGGCCCCTCTGCCCCCGCAGGGCCTCACGTGCCCCGCAGCTCGGGTCAGCCCCAGGCGAGGACTCTCCTGCGGAGCGGCTGCAGGTCTGCAATTCTGAGATGTCACACGCTCAGGCTTTCTGAGTCAAGGGGAGACTGCCCAGATGCGTTGGGTCAAGGGCGAGGCGGTGTTCAGCACGGGCAGGACAGGTGGGCGCCTGGCCAGGCCCTCCTGCAGCTTGTCTTGCCAGCTGCCTTCATTTCCCCACGTTCCCCGAACACGGCCCTGCCTTCTGCTCCGAAGCCCAGTTCCGTGGAGGCTTTGAAGCATTACACGACTCTCCGGGAAGGGAACAGCTGACCCCACGCTTTCCTCATAAAACTTGTTTAGAGCAAGGGGGGCGTGTTGGCCAGCAGCCCCCGGTGTGCGTGGCATGCGGCGGGCATGGGCCTGCGCCCCTCCCCCGGCCCTGCCGAGGGCCTGAGCCAGTCCGCCCGTCGCCTGCGTGTCCACAGGCCCTGTGTCCCTGGGGACCAGGTAAGGCTGGGCCTCCCGGCTCCGTCGAGGGCGGCTGATGTATTAACCGCCATGCCCGCTCCTGTGTACTCAGTTGCCCTAATCCGAAGCATGGGCGACGGTCTGGCTTGGGGCCCGGGTCCTGTGGCGCGCCCTGCGCCAGTTTCGGGTTAAAGAGACACTGTCACCTTCCTCTGGGCAGCCTTGCGACCATTCGTCGGGCTCTGAGAGCCTCTTCCTGGGGGCCCCCGCAATGGCCGATGCCACCCCCCACTCTACAGGGCCTTAGCAGGGAGTGCCCACTGCCCCACCAGAGTGTCCATGCGACTCTGAGTTGGGCGCTGCGCAGGGTGGCCAGCTGTTGGGGGGCCCAGGCAGCCCGAGGCCGGCGCGGCTGGCTCGCGCCTCAAGGTGGCGAGGGGACGGGGCAAGGTCAGCGAGAGCGACAGTGTCCCTTTATCCCGGGACTCCTAGTGGACCTAGTTTGCTGTGAGCCTGGGGTCCGCGGGCATGTTGGCGGGGTGGGCCACGGGCACCTCCCAGCCACCCGCTCCTAACAGCGTGAATGTGAGGGGCCTGCTTTTCTGCTTCAACTAACGCACCCCTCTGGGACCCGACTCAGGCCCGGGCACCGTGGGGCTGGGGCTTCCGGCGCAGCCCTGGGAGCCCGGCCTCACGCCCTGTCCCGCGCTGCGGCTCTTGCAGGTGTTTCCCCGGAGACGCGGCCGGCCTTTTCCCCACCGGGCCTGGCCTGGCCAGCCCCTGCCCGAGCGCCCCAGGCTCCTCGCCGCCTCTGTTCGTCCCCACCCCGCCTGGCTTCCTGCCATTCGCCAACCCGCAGCTGTTCCGGTCTCCCCGCCGGGCCTCGCCCTCCTCGCTGCCAGGCCGTCTCAGCCGCGCCCTCTCGCTGGGCACCGTACCCTCTCTCACCCGCGCAGGTAAGAGCGCCCGCCTCGGAGGCAGCAGCCAGGCCCAAACCCTGCCCTGGGCCGAGGGACCTCGCTCTCAGCCTGTTTGCACCAGAACAAGGGCCTAAGGTGGCAGCTCCCTGGGGTGCCGGGAGGGTGTGTTCAAGGCGTCCGGCAGGCGCTCAGCGTGCTGGGGCTTTGCCTGCCCCCGCCCCCCCTTACTGTGGCTGTTGTAGCGAGACCCTGCAGCCAGAAACCTGGTCTCTGGCCTTGCTCTGGACTCAGGAAGGGACGAGCCAGACGTGCCCAGGTCAGGTCCATTTATTAAGCGCTTGCTGTATGCAGGCGCTGGCGTGGCAAGCCTGGGTCCCTGCCACGGGACCGGGACCTCACCTTTCCCAGCAGGTCCTCTGGGAGCCCACTGTCACGTACATCCAGCCTGGCCTCTCAGGTGCTGCCCATGTTTGGGGGTGACCCCCCAATGCTTAGTGACCCCCCCAAGACTGCCGTGCTGCCTGCACTCAGGGCGACATCCTGCGGCTGGGGGCCAGGAGCCAGGTCTGGCCGCAGAGAACGTGGGTAGCGTCGTGGTTGACCTGGTCTCAGTCCCAGGCAGGCCCAGTGGGGACTGGGGCTCCTGCCTGACAGCCTGTGGCCTGGTGACTTCCCAGGCCCTGCAGCTGCTGGGAGCGGGGGCTCGCCCGTGGCCCCCTAGCAGCCGAGAGGCTGCTCCTGAGAGCGGCCTTTGAGCTGGGTGGTGGGGGCTCATTGAAAATGTGGCTGTCCCCAGATTCCAGATGTTTGTGGCAGCCAGGCGTGGGGGGGTCGGCCGCTCCCGCCCTCCCCCGCAGCAGAGCGCCTGGCAGATGAGTGGCAGCTGAGGCCTGCCCCCTCAGGCCCTGGCGCAGAGGTGCCCTCAGCAGCTGGAGCCCAAGGGCCCCGGGGCCAGCAGCTTGGGTCCCCAAGAGTGTCCTGGAGCCAGAAGGGGCGCTCCCGCCTGGGGTGGGGGTGGGGCTGGTTTAGGCCCCTGCCTTTGCCTTTGTTCTTTAAGGAATGAACTGACTTGGGTAATTAATTATCCTTCAGGGGAGAAAGGCAGGGACTGACCTCCCAGGGGAGCGGCCTGGCCTGCTGTCCCCTGTAGGGCAGAGGCAGGATTGGGTAGAGAGCCCCACCTCCTGGACTGACTGGGGGTGGGGGACTCGTTCTTACTCTGCTCAGCTGCACGCGGGTGGTCGTGGGGTGTCGGGAGGACCACATGCAGGGGACGGGTGCGCCAGGACTTAGGCCGGAGGTCCCAGGCGACCCCCAGTCCCTGCCGTGGGTGATGCCCTCCCGGCCCCCATGCTCTACGGGCGGCGCTTACGCCACAGGGGCTGCACGGGAGCCCACTGTTCCTGTTATGAGACGGGAGGTGCCACACCACCCCAGACTCCTGCTGGGGGCTCCCGGGGCAGAGCTGCCCTCGTGGCCTGTGCTCTCGGTGGCACTTGGGCAGGCGACTGCTGGTGCCTGAGTGAGGGGCCTCTGCTTCCAGGCCCCGGGGAGCGGGCGGCTGTGGGGCGGGGCCTCCCCACCCACGCTCAGGACACTGCTGCGGGCGAGGCCTGGCCCCCCTGCAGTCCCCTGGCCCGGGCTCGGCGGGCCCAGGCGCCAAGCTGCGCCCCAGCCCCGTGTGCACCCGCCCTGCCCCCCGCTCGCAGGCCTGTCCCGCACCCCTGCCGTGCGGGGTCTGTGTCTGGTGCACCTCAGAGCCCCGGGTGGAGTGGCAGCCTCAGAGCGGGCGCCCGCCGCCCGCCGGAGCACCCCGGGGGCACAGAACACGTGAGGCGGGTCCCGGCCCGGGGTGCACTTGCTCTAGGCAGAGCGGCTTGGCCAGTGCTCCTGCAGCCCCGCCCCGCTCGGCCACCAGGGCCAGGCGCAGAGGGCGCCAGGCCGGAGCCAGAGCCGCCGTCTCCCGCGTGTGCCCGCTGTAGGGACCAGTGTCTCCCTGTGCCCCCAAGCACCCCAGGTGTAGTTGGGGGAGTCACTTGAAAATCCCTGAAAGCAAAGGTTGGGCTTCAGCCATGCGGACGGGATCTGGGGAGGCAGAGGGGGTGCCAGGCCGACACCTGTGCCCCTCTTCTCCAGACTCAGGGTACCTGTTCAGTGGGAGCCGCCCGCCATCCCAGGTGTCGCGATCTGGGGGGGTTCTTGTTTCAGGTAAGGAGACGGTGGGGAGAGGGGGACCCCACTTTCCAGCGCCTCGGGGGGCCACTGCAGAGTGGTCAGGGTGACCCTCCAGTACATCGGTGGGAGCTCGAGCCTGGCCCTGGGCACACAGCAGGCACCTGTGTCTCAGCTTCTCTGTCAGGAAGTGGGCGCAGGGCTGCAGCCGTGGGTGCTGCAGGTGGGTGGCACCCAGGCCCCTCCAGCTCTGGCTCAGCTGACCTTCCCTTCAGGGCTGGTCCTGGGACCCCTCCGGCTGAGGGCCCTCCAGGGCAGGAGGGAAGTTGGGGGGCGTCGCGCTTCTCTCCTGCCCTGGGAGGGGCTGCAGGCCGCTCCCTGCTTCCTGGCAGGGGTCCCTGTGCCCCCATGCTGCCCTCCTCACTGTGGGCAGGGGAGCAGCCGCCTGGTCTTGCTGGTGGATGCACCGTGGTTGTCTTCCTGACTGTCAGGTCCCCCTGTTCGCTCACCCTCCAGATTACTTCTCTCTGCTGGCGGGGAGCTGCGCCACCTCCCCACTGCCGTCCCCGGCGCCCTCCGTGGCTGGCTCCGTGGCTGGCTCCGTGGCCTCCAGCTGCAGCTCCCTGCGCCACCGCCGGCCCCTCATCAGCCCTGCGCGGCTCAACCTGCAGGGCCAGAAGCTGCTGCTCTTCCCGTCGTC